GACATTCCATTCTGTCCCAACGGCTTAGGGCGGAGGAGCGCATATGGGAGGATACTAGCCGTGCCTTATCCTAGGTCGAGGAAATGCAACCTAAAAGCTAAATGTTATGGCAGGTCAGACCAGGCCCTCAGCCTTAGTTGGCTACTGGTCTAGGAGGGAAGCTCTGACAGGCGGATAGATAAAGCACTGCTCTGCTGATCCGGCGGCGTCTGCAGCTTACTTTGTTCTGTCTGTACTAGTATTACCTTTCCTTTTGAGTAAACAAGGCGGGCTGAGCAAGCGGTCATGCTGCATGGGCAACACATGCTCTCCATAATTGTACCCACGCTTTGTGCTATGGAGAGGAGAAACTCAATACATGGCCATTAAAAGGTCTCGGAATCAAATAAAGAGACTTTAGTTTATGTGTTATGTCCTCGTCATCTGACGTAGGCGAGGGCGTCACGGGTAGTCTCTGCTGGTGGGTGACATTTTCGAATATCATGGATTAGCTTACTACCCGCCTCAAGCTGGTCACCCCCCAGCCAGTAAGGTGTTGATCCACAACAGCGTGTTTGCTTCACTAGGTGCTTGGAGCTAGGACAAAATCCGAAACACCAGCTGTAAAAATAAACCCACCAGGTAAGAAGAGAGATCTCATGTCGGGGTTCAGCTTGCAACATGGAACGTTCAAACCATGTGTCCAGGATTTGCAATAATCTTAAAACCATTAGTTACGTTAGACAAACGACTGTCATTGATGCCGAACTCAACCGGCTTAGCAATGATATCACTGGCCCACATGAGACCCGTCTCCTGAAAATGGTTTCCTTAGGGAAAAGAACTATACCTTCTTTTGGAAGGGCAGAGGTCAAATAAAATCCGACAACAGAGAGCGTGATTTGCTTTCTTTAGTTTCTTCAAGAGTTCACCCGAAGCCAAAAAAAAAAAAAAAAAAAAAAGAATTGTTTACACTGAAGCACAAACATATCCTTATGATATATTCTACCAAAACTGAGATCCTAATAATTGTTTTTAATTCCAACAGCAGCTGGAATACTTTTTTAGTGATGTGCAAGAGGAATGTCAACACAGGAATGAAGTCTAAAATAATCCTATTGATTTAACAACTTCGTTTTACCTAAATAATAAAAAAAAATCAGCCCATCATTTGTTCGTCATAAATAAGCTGCGTTAATGTGTTCGTAATAAAAATAGCGGGCACTTTGTCTATGCGCAAGTTTTCCAATTAGGGACATAAATAATTAGTACTGTTTGCCTAACATAATAAACGATTATTGCAAAGTAATAATTTAGTAAGTAACTGAGAAAATTAAACACTTGTTGTTTAACTACCTAAATTGCCATGCAATTGATTAAATAAACATCAAACAAATTTATTTCCTATAATTGGAAGCTACTGCATCAGAAGGAGAATTGCTTTCGAAGGCATAAATGTTTTGTTTTTATGCAGACAGCTATGGAATGACTGCTAATTACAGACAGGAATAAATCAATGCGGTTGTAAAACATAATTTGATTGTAATTGATTTTCCTGACAGGTCTGTGTTGTGCAGTCCGTTATACAACCTCGTGGGCGTGTAAGGAGGTAAGGAGTCCAAGTTGTTTGAAGATAGTAAACACAAGAAACTAGTTCTTGAATCCAGTTGGTTTGTTGTTCATGTTATTTATCATTGTTCTAGTTTTGCCCGTGTGGTTAGGGGTAGCAGCAACGCCGACTTTTGTGTCTGAACGAAGCTTCCCTTTCCGGGCAGGTTTTCCATCATGGTTATTTTCATCATGGCGGACAGGGTTAAAAACTTGACCTATCCTTTACTAGTTTACTGAAACCTGACTGTAGCTGCTATCTGCATGCTGTTTCTTGCTGTTTACTTTGTTCTGTTTCACTGTTGACAAAGTAATTTTAATTTCTATCCCGTATCGAAGTGGTAGAAAATCACAAACATAATAAGTATTTCGTGGATCAAGATATAAATAAAGTCAACGTTAAATTACAAAATGTTAACATCGAAGCAAACTGGCTCATAGAGAGCAAGATGCATGATAAACTGAAGTACATGACAGCTTTAAAATTTCTTAGTCATAAGAAAGAAATTACCACACACGATAGTTCTTAGCAGTAGATTGTTGATGGATCCGAATGAATGAAAACTTACACAAGACAACAGAGATATGTGGTATAACTTCTGCTTAACGACGATAATGATTAACAATAAGAACATTACCTACATGTTTCAGGCAGACCATACCTGCTTTGAAAATATGAAAAAAAAGTAAAAACAGAAAAAAAAAAAAAGAAATACTTTTAAAAAAAGCATAGGGCACCCACATATATCTTCATATAATAACTAAATCACATTTAATAATGTAATCACCTATGACAAGTTGAGTGGAGTAATATAAGTTTTTTAGGCGCCCCTCGCTTTTATTAATCGTGGTATAACATTGCAGATGACTATCTGTAAAGACAGCTCAACTTGTGTATCCATTAAAGTATATGATAAAGTATACATACAATATACATTTGCAAAAGCCCGCCATTGTGACCAACATACAATAGCATACATTATTTTATATATTTTTAATGCACTTCTGAATATATTCAAGATAAGTAACAAAACCTACTGGTATATAAACTGTATTTTATGTTCTGGACTGATACATGCTGCAGGAGTTTGCAGATTATGGAGAGGCATGATCGAACACGCCAGTCGGCAAGGCACCTGATGATGATTATGATGATTTTATGTTCTTCCGTTTCTTTTTTTTTTTCGTCCCCTATCATTTGTAGTATTCCAACTTTCATTTGAATATGTTGTAACTGATATAACATTAGAACTAAAGATTGGAAGTGTGGTCTTAAAGCTGTATAACTTTAGAGTTCCACATTTTGTTCACACTTGTAAAGACTTGTTGCTTTGCCATTACGTATCATAATTTGTTTCGCTGTATCTCCTTGACAATACAAATTGCTAAACAAATAGGTGAATTGGTCCGTTACTTTTATTGGTTTGTTCTCTAGCATAACATATACATGATCTGTTTTTTTGGTATCTTTGACGTATTTCTTTTCTCAAAACGTATTTGTAGTCCTATTTTTGATGCTGTAGATGACACATAGTATGTTTATCTGTGGATGTCTGTTATTTATTTCACTTAACACAACAACATCTGCGAAATCCAGACCTTCCAGATGTCTGTTCTCCATCCAGTCAATGCTCGTATTGTCGTTGTAGAATGTGTTGATTACCCAATAATTGGCAACTCCCCCCCCCCCCCCCCCAAAAAAAAAAAAAAAAAAGACAGATGGATGCAGCCTTGACTGAATTTGTCAACACTGACTAATTACTCAAGTATCTCCACAAAATATGTTACTATGCACAACAGTATGGTCAATGTATGCATCAAACACTAGCAAATCAAACCACGTACATGATTGACTGATGGACTGACTGATGGACGGACTGATTGTTAGCTGCTGCAGGAAGGTCTGACACTTAGGGATTGTAAATCTGAATAACATATATTGTAAAGGTATGATGGCCGACTCTCAATATCACTCCACTCAATCTATTGTGTACAGTATAAACATACCATATGTCTGAAAACACAAACATATGTGATTTGTGTAATTCGATATATATATATATATATATATATATATATATATATATATATATATATATATATATATATATATATATATATATATATATATATATATATATATATATATATATATATATATATATATATATATATATATATATATTTATATATATAGATTTATATATATATATATATATATATATATATATTCCTGTATGTTCGAGCGCTTTTTTATAATTATATATATATATATATATATATATATATATATATATATATATATATATATATATATATATATATATATATATAAAAAAACGCTCGAACACACACACACATTCACGTAAATATATATATATACACACAAACACTCACACAAGCTGCTTTAATGCTCATTTTAGAGAATATATGAGCGATAAATTGGAATATCATCCACTGACTGAGTGTAAGCAAAATGCGATTTCGATAGCATGTAAGAAAATATATCTGAATGAAAATGTGCAATAACTTGATATGTGGATAAGACTCACCCAAATACTTCGAGCACTCGCTAGCGCACTTACACACGTCTTGAATCAGAATCCATATTCTTTATCGGATTCTAATCAACTCCCTAGGGAGCAACAGTACGACCTTGAGAGTCTAAATGGTTACTTCAACCTATCCATCTGCAGTCTGATACTCCAGAACAAAGCAATGCCCCTCCTTCTTGACTCTGCCAGCTCTTTCGCTGAGTGATCCAATAGCTTAAAATACTCCTGTATCCTGCAGAACGAAATAATGTACCAGCCTAAGGCTGAGATTTCTCTGTGGAATTCCGGGGTAAAACTTCCTCAAGGATCCACTACGGCCAGACCACACGTCCGCCTTCTTGTACCTTTTGACTGCGAATGTCTAGATTCCAATTCCCTAACAACACTACGTAATGTTTTTGACGCCCTATTTGCTTAGTCATTGAGAACAACGGTCCAGCCCATTGCTCGCCCTGTATATAAACTTGTCTAAACATCAAGCCAGTTTGAACTACACATATCAAACAGTGAATGTTATTAAAAGTCAACATACGTATAGTTAACATATGTGAAATTAGAGGACGGAGGAAAGTCACAAACTTAACCATATGAGGCAAAGCGAGAAAAGATACATTTCGATAGGCTTTGGGAGAAAAGTGTTTCTGATGGCGCAACTGTAGTGCCCTGTACACGTGTGCCATGTTTGTCTATCCTGTGTTCAGTATGTTCAGTGACAGGAAGAACGCAAGATTTCCGTAAGAATAACTTTGCGGTCTATTGCTATAGTTTACTATTTCAGTCGCAGAAATACACGCCATAACCCCTTCCATCTGAAGCAGTTGTGACATTAAAATTTGTTAATGGTGTGTCTATTCAAGTTCAATTAATTAATGATATGTCTAAATAAGCGCAGCTAACCATGGATGTGAATTCAATTATCATAGAGACTACCTCCTGGAACCCGGCCATGATCGTGGGCACGACCTTCTGGAGCCCGGCCGTGATCATGGGCACGACCTTCTGGAGCCCGGCCGTGATCGTATACACGACCTTCTGGAGCCCGAAGCTGATCATAGGCACGACCTTCTGGAGACCCGCCTTGATCATAGAAACGAACTCCTGGGGACCGGCGGTGATCACGGGCACGACCTTCTGGAGACCTGCTGTGATCATAGGCACGACCTCCTGGAACAAGGCCGTGATCATGGACACGACCTCCTGGAGGCCGGTTGTGATCATAGACATGACCTCCTGGAGCCTCCTTTTCCCTCCCCTTCCCCACCCCCGCTTCCCATTTTCCCTCTTTTCTACCAGTCTCGTGGAAGAGGGCTGTGACTTAAAACCGTGGGGTTTAAAAAAAATTATTGCACATGACGTCACTAACAATTATGACATGCTATTCACCATTTCTGACAGGTATAGGGATACTAGATGTGTATCTTCATATTCGCGCATTAATTATATGTCTCCTGTAAAATGAAACGTGTTCTTTCTATCACCTGAACCAGATGCTCATATTATTAATCCTGAAGATGCATTCATGAAGTGCATTGATCTACAAGAACAATATAGTTACAGTAATTAAATAGAAAATGATATGAGGCCGACGAGACACACTATTGTAGATAATCATCGACACGTAGAAAATTAGAATAAATAGCCTATACTGTATGTCATACAATAGCATTTAAATATATTGACCACACAGGTACAAACATAGATAATATGTTTTTGTTGTTAGGTCAAGTATACAAATAACATTTTGCAGACATAAAAACCAGATCTGTAAAACGGATGTGCCTGCAAAAGTAAGGTCCTGGAACTGAGCAAAAGCAGATACAAAACGGAAACAGGAGATTACAGTTGGTAGAACACGAAGAAGAAGAAACATTTTATTTCAGAAAAAAAGTGTTCGAAGTGTAGCGCCTAGGCACTAGCTTGCAGATACAAAAGTCACGTGTTTAAAACCGCAGGACACTTTTTTTTGTGTGTGTGTGCAAAATATGACCTTAGGTCGACCCAACCTGAATGGATACCAGGTACAGTTTTGGAAGTAAAGGCGGATGGTATAATATTGACCAATATTTAAGACTAGCCTCACATGCCCGATGCACAATTGGCATAATAAAGGGCCTATAGTTCTCTCCCACCTCACCCCACCCCACCCCCCCCCCAAACAAAAAAAACCTGTTGTTCTCTTTCTTTAGTACAAGATGACTGATAACAAAATCGCTTGTAGTAGAAGTCTTCAGCACTAAAAGCATTGATGGTATCACAAATATTGTCCCTGGGCATCAAGAACACATTAACAGCAATTACCTAATGGCTCCAGACGTTCAACTCTCATCGCATATAGGTTAAGTCAGTGTTATGTGTGTACATATAGGCATATGTGTGTGTGCGTTAGTGTGTATGTGTGTGTATGTGTGTGTGTATGTGTGTGTATGTGTGTGTGTGTTTAAAATTTTGAAACGCTTTGTGAAATTAAACAAAAAATAAACTGGTAGCTTTCAGAGTGTTTTGGTGGCTTTGAAAAATGGAACGAATAGCAAAGATATGTCGACAGCCTTGGTTCACATGTGCAGGGGTTGGCGCCACTGTAACTGCAGTTTTTAGAAATATGCTATATTTTCAGAGATAAACGAAAAGTCATGGGAAACAAATACATGCACCATCTCAACAAAGGGAAACACCAACGTCGTTATCTTTGAATCAGAAATCAGAAAAATGTTTAGTTTATCTAGTTTTGTGAATGCACATTTGAGTCATGCAATGGACTGCATTCATGCCCTATCAAATTGTAATTATCCTTTAATCTAATTAGAGCGTGTAACATTTAATGATGTACATTTCCAATGTGAGATAATTCAAAACTGGGTGATTGTTCAGTCTGACGTGAATGTATATTTAACATTGTAATGATGTGTATGCATACAGTACTTTTCAATTAAGATCTTCAGAATATTTGGCAGGTACAGATACACGTACCTTATATTTCAACATAATCTGAAAATAGAACTTTTGTTAGTTTGTTTGTTTGTTGTTGTCTCTATAAGCACAGGAAATGTCTGGAAGGCAAAGTGACAAGATGTCGCCATAGAAAGAGCTAGGAAGGATTACACAAGATGCCGATAGTGACGAAGTAGCTTTCAATCAGAAACATTCAAATCATGACCATTCCATGTCTCCACGCGGTCATACAGGAAATAAATTCCAGCCGCAAATCTGACCAACGTTGATATGATTAACATTCCCTTTGAAGTCGGCGCGTATTTGCGTAAGAAGGATGGTACACCAGTATGCACACAACGAAATACAATCTGCAAAACGCATGTACATGCAACACCCAAGTATTGGAACACGACTTAAGTCATTATGTGTAATAAAAACAGACTTACAGTCGGAGATTTCAGCTGGTGAAGGCGAGGAAGAAGACGGTTGTGCGTGTTTGTGTGTGTTGTATGTGTGTTGTGTGTGTGGAATTATTAATCATCGTGGTATCGTTAAAGAAAACATATTATTGCTTTCCTGGGAACGACCATGAGGTCAGGTCACTAGAGTGCCATCCCCTTAACAACTATCAATAGACTCGGAACTGTGATTTACTCTCAGATGACTAAGTTTGGACATGGACGTAACAAAATAATCTACAACTAAATGTGGGCTTCTCTCAAATAGCAAAGTCTGTACATAAACGTAACAATTTGAACTAAAACTAAATGTGGGCTTCTCTCAAATAACAAAGCCTGTACATGGCTCTAACAATATGATCTACAACTAAATGTGGGCTTTTCTAAAATGACAAAGTCTGTACATGGCGGTAACAATATGATCTATAACTAAATGTGGGCTTCTCTCAAATAACAAAGTATGTACATGGCTGTAACAATATGATCTACAACTAAATATGGGTTTCTCAGATGATAAAGTCTGTACATGGCTGTAACAATATGATCTACAACTAAATGTGGGCTTCTCTAAGATGACAAAGTCTGTACATGGCGGTAACAATATGATCTACCACTAAATGTTAGCTTCTCTCAAATAACAAGGTCTGTACATTGCTGTAACAATATGATCTACAACTAAATGTGGCCTTCTCGGATGATAAAGTATGTACATGGCTGTAACAATATGATCTACAACTAAATGTGGGCTTCTCGGATGATAAAGTATGTACATGGCTGTAACAATATGATCTACAACTAAATGTGGGCTTCTCAGATGATAAAGTCTGTACATGGCTGGAAACCAAACAGGGAAGTCAAGTCTAATGTGATGAACCTCATATGATTTGTGTTACGCTCGTCCCTAGTCGATGTGACATTTTGTAAATTATGACTTACTGCTATCAAGGCCCATGTCATCGGTAAAGTATAGTTCGCTAAAGTTAGCCTGTGTACATTCTTGTTACCATGTGCCTTATGTCAGCTAGTCCCAATAATTAGATTGTCCTTATTTTCTTTGTTACAATACACATATGAAATGACTAGAGATACATTTCTGTCATGTTTGTGTTATTGTAGTCAATCTTCTATATATCATGTCGAAAATCAAAGTGTACCCAACTATATCTTTTTTTTTTTTTCTCTAGACAAAGACTTGAAACTGTTCTCTGTTTTAAACACTGCTTTCATGAGGTACAGCTGTATGTGTATCTGTCAAAGATTGTTAGCAAAAGAAAATAAAGGAAATGCATTCTTAGTGAAGTCTAACAGTCTGCTAGGTGTGCTCGAAAGTTGCAATGGTTTAATTATGAGGTGTAATTTATCATGTGCAAATAGGTATCGGACATACACAACCTGTCACAGTCATGTCATGCAGACTTATACATTATTTTAGATTGTCTGACGTCGACTAATCCATGCATGCCAAATGCCCGTTTCAACTGTATTCTTACTTTGTCTTCACACTTGATCAAAATCGAAACAATCGTTATATTTTTTCCCCTGTTTGGTGTCTATGTGTTGTGTTTATATCCCTTGATTTTCATTATGATACAATCGTGCCACTGACCTATTTTGTCTTTTTTTTTTTTCTTAAGACGTTTTGTTCATTTTCAAAGAATGAAACACTTTCTGTTTAGTATTAACATCACAGTCAGATTCAGCACACATTTTGACTGGCACCAGTATAATTAGCCACAATCGATAAATGTCACAATTTGCCTGACTGTTCTATCGGCATCAACAATGAACTGTTACACAGTGACAAACATTCATTGCAGTTTCGGACGGGAAAAGAATGCCGATGTCTAGTACGCTTGCGTCCAAGAACCATTGTTCCCCATTTGGTTATGTGTGGATGCTTTCTTATCCTCTATGATCTATTTCTTCAACGGCTAAATGTGAGTAGATATCAAGATTTGTGAATTTTTGATTATATTTGTTGGTTGCCTTCGACCTGACAAATAAAACTCCTTACTTTTTTTTTTTTTTTTAATGGACGATTCAACGAGTAAAACATTCTGCTGAATGGATGATCATGGTTAACTGGAGGAAAATCGTGGACAAATATATTAACAGCAACATTCGAGCAAACTTGTCTGGCAAGTAACGGGTCAAAAACCCCAAAATAAAAAAGTTAAGTGGGGACCCTGAAAGGGGCCTTGTCTTTAGTAACTCAATAGCGGCTACAATTTGTTTCGAGACGGTGTGCCTGGTGGATGCCCTGATACCGAAAACTGCAGCGTGCCGACTAGATGGTGACCAACTAAGCGTTACAACACGCAGCACATAAACGTTGCCAAAATAGAGTCGATGCTCATTATAGGAGCTGACTGAAATTGGCAGAAAAAAAATTTTTTTTTTTTTTTTGGACTACCATCATCAACCATCATCGGGTCTAATCGGTAACTACACTTTTCTTTCCAGTTTCGTCCTTTTTAGGACGACATTTTTTGTTATTTGAAGCCCCACCCTGGCTTTTGCCAGGGGTCGCAATATAGAGAGCCCATAAATATGGCCAATTGTCTGAACATCTCCACTGCGATCGTCATCCACATGGTGGCACTTTGTGTCATCGGGTGTTTATCACTTGTGTGGTGTCCTGGTGGGTTAGATAGTCAGTCGGGTCTAATCGATGTGAATATCCAGTTTCGTCCTTCTTAGGACAAATTTTTTTTGTTTTTTGAAGCTTCCCCTTCCCCGGCTTTTGCCTGGGGCCGCAAAATAGGCAGGCCATAAATATGGCCAATTGTCTAAACGCGGTTTCTGGGACCTCTCCACGGCGATCCTCATCCACAT